TTTTTTTTTTTTTTTTTTTTTTTTTTTAATCTGCAATTCTCTTTCATTTTTTCATGCTTCTCAAGCAAACTGCGGCCCGAGTTAGACCCCACATCTTCGGTCACTGGCGTGAAATAGCCAAGCCTGAAAAGCAATTGGCCAAATCTCGACCACACGACTAATCGGACTCCACTGCGAAATCGGTCCTACGACATATCAGGTCTCATAGCCCAGCCTCAACAAACATGAAAATTCAAAATAAAAGGTTACTAACCCCAATCTCATGAGCCGATGAGTTTCTGAATCCCTTTAAATTTTTAGCAATTTGAAAAAATTGTTAGGTTACTTGGGATGCCCGAGCGAGCATCCCGGCACGCCGCTGGGGCAGGCACCTGCCTATGTCAGCCTCGGGTAGCTCAAAAGATGACCATTCTTTTTGTGTTTTTTTATCACTGTGGCCACCGAGATAAGCCCATATCCGGGCTCCGTTTTGTTTGCCAGTGTTTTGGGTTTGGGGGTGGGGGTAGGGGGTTTGGGGGGGAGGACAAAGAGGGTATAAGTAGGGTTCAAATGCGATGAACCCCCCAGTGCACCACCAATGAGCGCACACAATCACACAGCATGCACAACAAATGAGATCACACGAAGTTCACACTGGAGGCCAGAGAGATGAAGACCAGGTAAGCGCAGCTTTAGAATCTCCAACAAATTATCATATGAGCACTTTAAGAGTTCCAGCCACAAGCGCTCAGCAGCGCAGATCCAAGTAACCAGTATCTTCATTCAGGTGAGTGTCTCTCCCACCACTCTTCTCTCTTCTCTCTTGGTCTTCTCTCTGTCTACTACCTCCCTGTGTCTTCTTTCTCTACTTGCATGCACGCACACTATCTATACTCAAGGAGAAACTCTGAATACACCCACTGCTAACTCTACTAACTCTCCTGAGGTCTACTACTAACTGCTAAGCACTGGCGCAGCTATGGCTGCCTTCCATCTGCCAGCGCTGGGGCAGCTATGGCTTCCCCCTCTTTCTCTCCCTCTAACAGTGCAGCTTCCTGGCTCAGCGCTCCGCTCCTCACAATAGCGCACAAGTGCACCAGCACTTTTACACCTCATGCGAGTGAGCAATCTGCCTAAATGGGGAGGCTGGCCAGTCCTTGTATTGTCTTGGACTGAGCTTCAACTCTTCCCAGTCTCTGCTTCTTGGTGCTTCACTTGGTTCTGGTCAAGATAAAAATTCAGTAATTACTGATCTAATTTATTTATCTATTTATTTATTTAATTGATATAATCAATGAATGATAATTGAATAAATTTATTCGTGTGAAATGAAACACCACATCCCCACGGCCTGTTTGCTTCAGAATGCCAGGGCCTGATACCTTTCCCGAATTCCATTGGTGTGCTGCTGCTTGGGCCTGTGAGTCACGACTTTTCACCTGTGGAACATGACTTTTTTTGACTGTGCTTTGTGACTCCTGCCTCTGGGACACGACTTTTGCCTGGGGAAGTGTCCTTTACCTGTTGGATGTGACTTTTCAATATGACTTTTCATTATGAGACGTGACTTTTGCTTAAAGAATGCAACCTTTGCCCCTAGGATGTGACTGTTCACCAGGTGGCTGTTGGGCTTGACTCCTAAGTACCCGACTGTGACTTCTCCGAAACTGACCGACTTGGCCTGAGACCTCGACCCTGAAATCCGAATTTGGGGTCTGAATCGTGGAAGGCCTTCCACAAAATTTAAAGAGGTTTAAAGGGGTGTACCTGAATCTGATATCCCCTCCCCCCACCCCCACCCCCACCACCACCATTTTTTGATATTGGATTCACTTTTGCAGTAATCTCGAATTACCTGGGGCTGGTCACCTGTGGATATATCTCAAGACTGACACACACACAAAAGAAAGATATTGGATTCAATATGGAATTCTGCGCGACGGGATGGAGGCAGGGAGGGGGGCAAGAGAGGAGAAGAGTGAAAGAGGAGAAGAACACGAGAAAGAGGAACGTCCAAGGGTCCTCAATACACAGGCCGAGCAAAACTTCAGCACGGATTCACTGCTACTATTCTCTTGGCGGCCATTATAGGGCATGGACGGACCGTTCATATCACGAGACTTCCATAGTCGAGCCTACAGCACCCGTCAGCTAATCCTTAAGGGACTGCAGCGGGCTTCCTTCCTCCCTAGAAGCATAGCTGTGGTCGAAGCACCCGTGTGGTAACTACAACTTCCCCAGTGCTCCTCCTCAACACATAGACATACTACGCGGCCGTCTACTACCACTCTGCCGAGTTACTGCCAATGCCACTCTTTGTAATAATCGTCCTGAATGTCGTACTACCATGTCCTGCATCCTCGGTACCTACCCAAAGTTTTGTGCTACCATGCCCTGTGAACGCTGATATAGAATCGCCTCTCACAGAGACTCGTACCCACTGCGGAGTTGAAGAGCAACGGCAATTCACCGGCTGGCTATGGGTGCCATGAGGAGGAGGGGAGCTAGTTACTAGGCGTTGCGGAGTTACTACTGCGCTTCCCTCCTACTCCAGAGTGGTTCAGGGGGTGGTGCCGGTAGCGTGAAAGCTCCATCCGACTCCGTTGGCCGCACAACCCGGCACTATTTAGGAGAGGTCGGGCTGGCCTCTAATTGGTAGGTAGTTCTCACTTCCCTGATGTGCCACCAGGCTGCCCAGTTGAGCAGCTCAACGCTGGTACAGGTAGAGGAGCAGCATGAGCGCTGTACGAGGTAGAGGAGAGTGAGAGGTGAGGCGGAGTCGTCCATTCACCTGCACCATATCCATGAAGTTCTGCAGCCAGCCATAGCTGGTCCTCACCTTCTTCAAGACACCTGCAGTGAATCAGCAGCTCAAGGCTCTGTGTTACATGCTGTGCCTGCAACAGGCTGCATGGGCCATTTTCAGGCCTGTGTCGTTTTCAGCCTGAAAGCCTGAAAACAAGGGCCTACAGGCCCTGTGTCGTTTCAGCCCGAAAGCCTGAAAACAAGGGCCTACAGGCCCTGTGTCGTTTCATCCTAAAACAGGCCCTGAGTCTTTTCAGCCTGAAACGGAGGGCCATTTTCAGGCCCTCATAAGATCGACCTGCCCTGAAACTCAGGCACCAGACCAGGGTTTTAGCACAGGCCATTTTGGGCCTGTTTTCAAGACAACCTTTGTTTGAGCTTCAACGCCAGGGTCTGGCACGTTTTAGCATTGGCAAGAGCAGCCTCCTGGACAGGCCAGCACTATATAAGACTGGCCCGCCCTGCAGGCTGCAGGTAGTTCATAGGGACTTCCCAGGCACTTCACATGCAGTTCAGGAGACAGGAGGTAGTCTTCAGGATTCGACAGCAGCACTCTGGAGGAGAGCTGCAGGAGTAGTAGCGCCGCTAGCAGTAGTCTTCAGCGCTGGGTGCTAGTAGCGTTAGCAGTAGTCTTCAGCGCTGGGCGCTATTAGGAGCTAGAGTAGTACTAGAGAGAGAGAGATTGGGCGGAGGCCAGGGAGACTTACCTGCAGCGCCATAGCTCCAGCTTTGCCTTCGAGGTACCTGCAGCACGGCGCCATCTTCACAGGCTAGTACCTGGCACATGAGAGAGCGAGAGTTCTTCTTCTTCCTCTTCTCAGTCCACCGTCTCCCTCTCACCCTCTCGCTACCTGACTTCACTGAATCAGCAGACTACGAGAGAGTGGGCTTCGTGACATTTGGATCCAGACTCGACATTGGGCTTCAGACATTTGACGAGGGGTTATCTGGGACTTGTAGCGAAGACTTGGTGTTGACGACATTCCCATCTCCCCCCTTCTTCCTCGTCTGATCCCCCCTCTTCGTCTGTGTATGGTCTGGGCCTGGCGCATTCTTCCTGTGTGTAGTGCCAGGTCCCTTCACACGTTGTGACGAGGATGATGTATGTTTGGTCTGTATTGCGACATTGATTGGGCTAGTCATTGGTATTCTAGCATTCTGCTGCGCTGTCTTGCACTACGT